ATACGATGAATTATTGTACAAGTGTTTTGCTAGTTCCCTATTCCGTCGTGATAGCTTGAATGGCGCGACGAATCGCTGACTCAGCTGTGTCAATCATTTCCGTTGCGTTAATTCCTACGACTGCTTTCAGGAGGGCCACGCGTTGGATAATTTAAAATTATAGGATGTACATTTGTAACCTATGTATATACGTAGCGTATCGATCTACAAGATACCACGAAATAACCAACGTGAAGTTTGAAATTTACGAATCATTTCAGGCGATCGATCATATTCGCGCAATTTCGAAACAATGCGGCAATGCATACAAATAGACTTTGCCGCTAATCTTTGCATTACCATGCAAAAGTAGATATGCATCGGTTATGCATGTTAGAGCTTCGTTAAAGCCGGTACGGCATGTGGCGAACGTGACATCGTGGAATAAATAAAGTTACATAATATGGTGGAATAAATGCGCATATCGATGTCGTGCCCGTCGCATTTGCATCCGCGCACGTGGTACGACGTTTCAACTTATCGCCGTGGCGCGGCGCTATTAAAAACGAATGGCAACCAATTACGCGGGAATGCAATTGCGGCCATCTCCATACGAAAACGATCGTTCGTTGCGATATTCGCCAGATCCGTTCCCCGAGTTTGATAATTGCTAGTCGGCCAATTATCATTCGTATCTCCGTCAGAGTTCGAAGTAAACCTGTCCGAAAGTAATTACGCTACCGTGACTGAAATTCAACCGCTGTTCGTACGTTCGTTCTCCGTTTCTGGAACGGCAACGAACGATCCCCTTAACGTGCAGTATAACGAGGTCCATCCGCGATTCCGGTTATCGTTGCTAACTATCTCTAGACTCTCTTCCACGGAAGCAACGAGTACCTGACTGATTCGTACAAGAAAAATCCTTGCAACGTCCTTGCCTGACGATTCGCAACCTTGTCCGTGGATCTTCCTACGCGATTATCCGTACGCGTTATCGACGACCTTACAAGCGATCGACTGTACATGTTAGCCGCCTGTTAGTGTATCGTATGCGTGTTGTCCAGCGTGGGTGACAGAGGAGAGGGTGTGCTGCCTGCGAAGGAGACATCCTGAAGAAGAAAGGAAAAGGGTAGACACGACGAAACGAATAAAGAGAAAGAGAGAGAGTGAGAGGGGGGGAGGACGACGATGAGGGAGAATCGAAAGGGGTGCGAGAGAGGGAGGGCAAGGAAGAGAAAGAGAGACAGAGAGACG